GGAAGCCATGCACGCAACGCAGCCCCGCTCTCTTTATCTCCAGGTGACATTCTGCCGCTTTCCTCCGTGGTGCAGTGCTGATCGTTTCACCACGGAGGAAAGCACTTCACTAATTGCAGTACCCATAAGGAGCTGTACAAATGCCGCAGTTTTTGCGTGGCTGTGTATTTAGTTGAAAGCCCAGTGGCGATCTGCTCATCTCTCATCGACAAAGGGGCAGGCCATCTGTGTGTTGAACTTTCCTGTCGGCTCCCAGACCGTAGTCGAGGAGGGCAGAAGCAACAAGCTTCAGGTTCAATAACCCACTTTAGAGAGAGGCGAGCTCTTCTTGGGAGGCCGTTGCATTTATTTAGCTGTTCTTCTGTTTCACAAAATACATCACAGACCTCTGTTTTTCTGCTTCCTCGTTTCACTTCCAGAAACATACACACGTTCTCTCCATAGGTTCTCTCACTGTCGCTCTCCCATCCACAAACACACATGCACAAGCCACACCCCTCTCTCTCTCTTAAAGGGACAGCGATCTCATCTCACTCTGCATGACCCTAATTATCATAGCATGTGTGCTCTGGAGAATCACAGAACGGACGATCGTCCTTATTATTATGCCGTTTAAACCAATTATTTAAATGTGTTTGTTAAATTCGGCATCATGTGAGTTGCGCTGAGACGCTGCTTCCCCGCAGCGAGGCTCCCCCGCCCTCCTGCTGATAGTTGACGAGCGTCAAGCTCCTCAACCCGCCCCCGCCCTGTTCATAATTCTCGATCGTTGGCACGCTGATAACAATAATTTTTTTAAATGGCACTTCATATCAAAAAGGTTGCCGACCCCTGATCTAGATCATGATTAACACATTCATTGGCTTATAAGAAGGATTCTCATCCAAAAGCATTTTGCTGATTATTTAGTTTTTGTTTTGACATTTTGAAGAGGTTTACATGGCAATCAGACCGGTTCAATAAGAATGTATTCCCAACTTCCAAGCGGAGATAATACCTAGGGTGTGTCGTTTCCAACGGCTCTTACACAATGCACACCTCTAAATACACTTTATGCTCTGCTGCCACTGTGCATACCTCTGTTATTGTGGGAAAGGGATAAATATGCTGTACTCTATCATTCAACTAGTCATCTATTTCACCTCTAAGTGTTTGTGACACTGTGGGTGGGGTTAAGTTTCTGGAGAGACCAGTTTGCCAGCATAGGAACAAAGACGCCTGAATCTGGGTGGGTGTAGATACACGTGCCTCTGGGAACAGGGCTCAGATGCTACCACGACTGGTTCTTCAGGTGAGACAGACTTCGCATCTCAAGCAGTTTGGAGGTTTGACCAGGAAATACTGACATAGAAGATAGGCTTGGGGTATAGAGTATCAAAAGGGGATAGAGAACATCATTCTGACCTGCCCAGTCTGTTGAACACGTGATTGTTGGGTTTGGTGACATTATTGAAGAATAAATCCAACTGGAAAGAATGAGGTGACGTCTCCCTGGAAACACAGAAACACACACATTTATGTGGCAGTCAGGGCTATATGGATATACATCAACAAAGGGGTGGGCGTTTTGACAATATGGAAGCAGACGTCAGATTGTCAAGTACACATTTAAAATGTATTGCAATTCCATAAAACGTCTTTACCATAAATTATATTATGCACGGGACACTATAAACATAAAATGTGATTGTTGGTTAGTTATTATACTGCATCGCATGGATCTAGGTCAGGGGTCTGCAACCCGCGGCTCTCGAGCCGCATGCGGCTCTTTAAGCAGTTCTCCCTTGAAAAAGAGATCTATGATCTCAAGGGACCAATCTGATTAAATAAAGGTTTGAAATGAAATGAAGCCCTCTGCTCTGGCTCCCTGAGCTTAGACAAAAATAAGAAGGAAATAAAATAAAAGTATTTGTAGGACTATTTAAATGTTGTTGCACGGTTGAAAATGTTTTGTATGTTGTATTTTGAGGTGATACTGTGACAAATAAATACAAAATAAAACGTTTTTTATTAGGTCAACTAAAATATGCGTCATATCCTGCGACGGCGAACTATGGATAAATCAAAGAAAAGTATCGGAGGATCACAAGATTTAATTCTGCGTGGTTAGAGTTATATGCTTTCAAGCAAACGATGCTGGCTTACCGGTGTGTTTGATATGTAGAGAGAAGTTGTCAGAGGTGCTGCAGCCTTTACGTATCGAGGAAAAACACGGAAGAGGAAGACAGCTGACGATCTTCAGTCATAATTCAATCAGTTAACTCTTTTTAGGGTGCAGCTATATGTTTTATTTATTTCAAAGTGGGTCAATTTTAATAGTATTTATTTTCCTTCAAATGTGCAGAGGACTCCCCAAGTGCTGTGTTAAATGTATTTTAAAGTAGACCTGTGTTTTTTTTTGTAATTCTCCTTATAAGAGTTCTTTGTTTCTTATTAGAGGTAAACAGTTTTATATAATGTAATAAATAATACATGCAAAAAACTGTAGTTTTTGTCTATGATATAACAATAAATACAACTTTATAAGCTATCAAATATGTTTTGTGGTTCCAAAAAATGGTTGGAAAAGGGGGGAAAATGGCTCTTTTGGTCAAAAAGGTTGCAGACCCCTGATCTAGGTGGACCCAATACACTGGCACTTACTGTATGTCACTGAGTGTTATAGTGCTCTTACCCGAATGCTCTGCTGTCAGGTAAGTTGCTGTGTGCTTTGATGCCCGGAGGAATCACCCGCACCTCTGTGATCAACACCCCGCAAGGAAACCGCACCACATCGATGTTGGTCAACTGAATTGCATTGAACACCATAATTAATAAAAACAAACATTTAAATAAAACAATAACATCCAAGTTTATTAATGTAGCACAATGTCAAAAAAAACAACGTTTGTTTCAGTGGGGCTTTACAGATTAACAAACATGAATGACAGTGCTAAAAGTCAAAGAAAATGAGAAAAAGACAAGATAGAATGTAAAATGCAAATAAAAATAGAATGAGATAAATTGAGATAATGCCACCACTAGTTAACACTAATACGACAGATCACAACAGACACTTCTGATGGCCATGTTTAGGCTAAACAGTAGCATTAGCCACTCTGCTAACTAGCAAACAAACTGCGCAAGGGGGTAACTGTGTGACTTTATAGGGTTATGTACATACAAATCTATTTAACTTATAACGCAACATGAGTTGTGAATGTAGGAAAGTGTGCAACGTGAGTGCAATACATGCTGTGAATTGTTACCACAACAACCAGGATATATTGCTAATGTTAGCCATGCTATCATCGCTAGCTTAGAAGTTTAGCATCGATCTCTAAAACTCCTGACTCTGACCAGTATGAGTGTTCAGTGCTGGCGGATATGAGGTAAATATACAAGAGGGTGGTAAGGCATGACAAAAATTACCTCTGCACTCTGGTGTTTAAAAGTGTCAAGAAAAAGAAGCTCGGTTGAGGTGTCCCCCGCCATCGCTTACTGCTCCGTTGGGCCAGGGGTACACTTCCGGTCTGTGTGGGTAAACACTTCCGGAGCACAAATGTAAACATCAGAAATAACAAATAAATAAATATTACTTTAATAAAGAGAAAATAACTTGTATACCTTAATTACACTAACATCATGTAACTATTTTAGTTACTAATACCTATTTGTAATGTATTATAGCATATTAATATCTCGATATCATATAATATAGTTTATTAGCCTATATTAAGTTATTCATGTTACTCAACCAAACAACAGTAAAAAGACAGTTTATGTCAGAGCATAATCTTTTGGTGTATTTAATGGTTTAATTCATTAAAGTTTTCATTTCATTTTTCATTCATTTCATTCATTTTTCCTTTTTGTGTATTTTATTTTAATTTTATCAGTGTTGTTTTATATAGCCTACCAACACTTTATTTCTGCGGTATTGGTAATAAAATAAAAAATACTTTATTTTATTGTTTGCTGTCAAGTAGCCTACTGTACATTTAGCAAATACAAAAAACCGAATGTAGCCTATACCAAAGTGCTTTTTTACTCAGAAGTTAGGCTGATAAAACACAAACATTAATAAGTTAATATAATTCAATTAATGAAAACACAATATGTTTTATTAAATTCATAGCATAGCATACACTTACTTCACAAATAGAATGAACTACCCACAAATAAAAACAAGAGGGTATCTTCCATTTTCAATATAGGCTACTTTCAATATGCTTATAGCTTACAACTTTATTAAATAATATGTGTGAGTAAGAAATTCCTAATAGGAATTATTTAATTATTTAAGAGCACGTGGGTACACCCTTTTATTCTTCAACTAGACCTCACCCTTTTATCATTGAAACCTGCAGGGCCCCGTAAATTGTTAATCAAATGGATACTCTAATTAGTCCTACTTTGATACTGAAAAATATGCAAAGAAACGTATTGATATTTCGTTCCTCCATGGTCTGCCACGTCCTAATCTGCAAACCACCTGAAGGAGGGAGGGGGCAGGTAAAGAGTCACGTGGTCACACAGGTAGATGCAATACAAAACGGGGCACGTTCAGCCATTACTCGGAGATGGTGACTGCGGGAGGTTTCACGAAAGATTTTACAAGCGACGAAACTTGGATTTACGGACTTCACCTTTGGGCTCAGGTGTCACAGTAAAGGTGTTTATATACATTGGCTCCCGCGTGTTGACTTAGCAGGTGTATCTTCAGTTCCTGCCTTTGACTTTTTGTGCAGCATTGGATAATTTTTTTCGGCGGTGTTTGTGCTCAGATGACGGCGCAGGTAGACTACCTGGTGGTGTTTTTCACCGCCACATCTGGCGCGAGTGGAGAGCTGCTGGGATCCGACGAGAAGGAGCTCGTGCAGTTGGTTTGGCAGCTGGTGGATGTAAAGAACAAACAGGTGAAACTTTCTTATTTTTCACAGAGAGTTATTGTTAGTATAAATCAGGAAATGTAGTGGTAAACAACTCAAGTCGGAAATAGTCTCCAAAACAAACTACAGCCGTTTATAATACTGTTGTAAACATCTATGAGCTTAATTTTGGCTCTTAAATTGTTAATTAAATGGGATGACTAATATATTCTCATAAAGCTGTCTATATTTAAAACAGACTCTGACTCTGTTATGTGTTAATATAAATGTAATAAGAGTCTCTATTACTACATTGAATGTTATTTATTCAGGTTTCAGCTTCTATGAGAGCTTCTGTTTCTATACTAACATGTGTTTTCCTCTTCTCTGAACCAGTTGGGCAAGGTGAATGAGATCCTCATTAAGCCTGACCTCTCAGAATTGACAGAGAAAAAAGAGGAGGAGGAGGATGTGGTGGAGGAGAGTGTGGAAGAGGAGAATGGATCCGGAGCAGATAATGTCTCCACAGCCTCAAGTTTTGAGACAGCATTAAACCTGGTAATAACCTACCTTAAATCCTTACAATAAGCAGCATTATACCTGGTAATAACTTACCTTAAGTCACTACAAATAATGTTTTTTTGTTACATACTAACTGTGGAGATACATGAGGATATATTGTCAGCATTTTAAATTATGTTCTAAATGTTTAATGCCTCGCCTTGCAGTTTCATCTAGAACTGTCAAACGAGGTGAACAGCGCGGGCGCAGGCACGTCGGTGTGTTTGTGTACAGACGGGCAGCTCCACATCCGCCAAGTGATTCACCCCGAGGCTGCGAGCAAGGTGAGCTGAATGGGTGAACGCCTTGCAGCCAGGGCGGATGTTCTGCAGGAACCTTCAGCGCTAACACAGTCACAAAGAGATATGTTGTGTCAGCACTGAGCTCCTGGTTGAATTGAAATTTGCAGTGAAAGTTGCTCTAGAGCCAAGAGCCGCTCATGAAAACCTGTCCAATGACACACGCCCATGTACATACCACCTACACGATGAAGCTGATAATATTTCCCTGAATGTCTTTAACCTGTAAAGTGTAAGACAGAAATTATTCACCTGGCATGAGCAAACATTGATATGATGGCAATAAAAAGGCAGCTGTTGAAGGGCCGCTGGGTAACATCCGTTTCTTTAATGTCTCCCCTCTTCAGAACATCCTGGTCCCAGACTGTTTCTACTCTTTCTTTGACCTTCGGAAAGAGTTCAAGATGCATTTCCCCTCACCTGACCTCAAGGCTTTGAATGTACATATCATGGCAGAGTGTATCCTTCATTATGTCACTGTAAATGTTTGTAATATTAATAATGCATTCATATTGGATTTTATTTTTTGGTTATTCGTGCTCAAGTATAAATCTTGATCTTTTGTGCCCCTCTATCGCTCAGAAACACGTATTAGAAGTTTGTAAGCCACGGGTGTTGGCTGCAAGCCTGGAGGTTTTGAAATGCAAATGCAAATAGGGAAACAATGGCAGCACCTTACTCAGCGCTCAGTGAGCGAGTGTGTGTTTAGCCAACAGGGTAAACCCCACACACCCACTGAAACAGGATTTAAACTAACATCTATGTGTGTGTTTTTCTTTTATCACGTGCCCTTTTTTTGTGGCGTTTCCATTTTTCTCAAATGTTACACCTGTCACATAATCACTTTGTACACGTATATCAAAACCTTCTGGCTGTCTCCGAACTGTAAACTGCTTTTATTTGGCTGTTCCTTGTTTGCTTTCCTTGACTGCCTCCCCCACAGCTCTTAGTATGCCTGTTGATGTGCCCCCCATGTGGGATCCCTCATCTACACTGGATCCCTCTGCCATACTGACCGCAGAAATAGCTGTACAGCAGGTCCAGATTATGGGCAGCATTGTCCTGGCCCTGCTTTCTGAGCCATATAGTGAGTACCATATATGACTTTACACAAAGGTGGAATATTACAGACTTGTCATTGAGTTAGGCCTCAAAGCTTACTGTGTGTGTGTTGACAGGTAAGATCAAGTGAGCAACAAAAACATTGTTCAAATTATATTGAAGGAAACAGAAAACGAATCAACTGTTAATTTAGACATTTCTCATCAAAAGTGCTAATTATTTGTTGGTCTCAGATTCTCTAATGTAAGTACTTAAGTGCTCTTTTTTGTCTTTCATGACACTTTCCTCAAATTCTTTGGATTATTTACAATACATCTGACATAGCAAGCTATTTGAATAGGTTGCTTTCATTTAAGGCATTGACGTTATATGCCAAACAATTAATCAATAAATATAGGTAATAGATGAAAGATTCATCTACAAATCAGCAGTTTGCTCTAAATGTATTTTCTGTTGAAGTACAGGTCAGTTTTGGTGTAATTTGTGATCTCATGTTTGCCTCTATTGCTTTCCCATTACAGGCCACACATTTACTAACCAGGAGAGAGTTAGTGAGAAGTTTGAGAATGGCACTTGGTAAGTAAAGTTTGCTCAATATAAATATTCTTGTTGCTCTATGCCTCTGAAATCAACTCCAAGTTCCACGTCTGCCGTGCTAATGTCTCTATGTGTGCGTGCTTCTTCTTTTGTGTGTGTGCAGCAGTAAGATGGAGAAAGTGTGTGACAACTCAGTGATTAGAGCCAGAGGGTTGCCCTGGCAGTCTTCTGATCAGGACATCGCTCGATTCTTCAGAGGACTCAACATTGCCAAGTATGTTGGACCAATATTACCAGCACTCTCATTTATGAATTTTGTATCTTTAAGTAAATGTAATATACTAAAAACCTGCTGTTGACACAAGGTTCAACCCCCTCTCTAATGCTCTGTATGTTGTGTTGTTTAGAGGAGGGGCTGCATTGTGTCTTAATGCTCAGGGGAGGAGGAACGGGGAAGCTCTCGTTCGTTTTGACAGTGAAGAACACAGAGACCTGGCGCTGCAGAGACACAAACACCACATGGGCAACAGATACATAGAGGTAACCTGTCTTATCCTTAAAGTCTGCATGAAATAAATGGATCAGCCACTCTACCTATATTAATCCAATCAATTGAGACACAAAGTCTTAACCTTTGTCTTGTTCCTTTCTAATGGCAGGTTTACAAAGCATCAGGAGAGGACTTCCTGAAGATAGCAGGAGGTGAGAAGATATAAAAATTAGTAAAATTAGGTTTGGTGTTGTGTACACAATATAATTTGACCATATTAAGTCCTGAAGCTCTTGGGTGCCGCCTGGTTTAAAAGGGAATTTACTGTTATGAAAATCAACACCCAAATTATTATCCAAATAACAAAAATGCAACCAAAAAAACACACTGTTTGGAAAACTTAATGCTGTTGAAAACCACACTGTGGTCCTTTTTATTTGTATGGTTTTAGTTAAGGTGTGTCTCTGTCCCTGTGTGTGGCAGGTACCTCCAATGAGGTGGCGACGTTCCTATCCCGGGAGGACCAGATCATAGTGAGGATGAGAGGTCTCCCCTTCATCGCCACACACGAGCAGGTGCTGGCCTTCTTCTCCCCGGGGGACGGCCTCAAAGAGTTGTGTCCGGTCAGCGGAGGGGTGGACGGCATCCTGTTCGTACGCTATCCAGACGGGCGTCCCACTGGCGATGCTTTTGTCCTATTTGCCTGT